TGCTCTGCAGCAATCTGCTAGTGATCAGAGGTTGCCTGGGGGTCACTGGCTGGTTTCTAAGCCTGTGTAACTGAGGCCTTAGTATGTTACTTGCTGGTGTATTGCTTTTCATGGAATTTGTTGAGAAGAAATTTTCTGAAGTCCTGAAGGATTTTCTTCAGGTGCTAACACCTCTTTATACCTTTTTGTATGCTTTTAATCAGCATTAAACCATTTCAGATTTGTTTTACTTGCAGGTCAGATGGAGAGGACCAACATGTCAAAGTTAAATGCTTCAGGTAGAGTATGACTTAACTGATAAAACTTTACCAGAATTGTTACAAGATCATGGGAATCTTAAAATGCCAGTTGGTTAAGTTTTGCAATATACTGCAAATCTGTAAAGGCAAAGCAGAAAAGTTGTTTCTATTTTTGTGGCATTATTTCTGAATTCATGTGTCTGCAGGGAGCCACATAGCCAAATTGAGAAGAGGAGACGGGACAAAATGAACAATCTGATTGACAAGCTCTCAGCCATGATCCCCACCTGTAACCCCATGTCTCGTAAGCTGGACAAACTCACTGTGCTTCGAATGGCAGTACAGCACCTCAAGTCTCTCAAAGGTACCAACTCAATGTTGTGTTTGTTTTTTTAATTTGTTCAATTAATCTACTCTGACTCTGTTGTTACTGGTGGTAACTGCCAGTTATTTAGATTATTGGCATTGTGCTGGAGTGTTACTTATATCCCTGAGCTGTGAAAGGCTGATGGGGGATTGTCAACACAATAACTGAAGAAAGATGTTGTCAAGGATTTTCAAATTTATACCATAGGTGCATCTACTAGGAAGCTGAGCAGCACTGGCAGTCGTCAGTATTCTTTTTAATTATCATTATTTTTTATTTGTGTAACTTCGTGTAATATCTTTATATTTTCAGGTTCAGCAAGTTCTTTTTCTGAAGCCAACTATAAACCGTCATTCCTTCCTGATGAGGAGCTCAAACATCTTGTTCTCAAGGTAAATGCAGAAGTGACAAATCTAACGGTTTCTCTGGTATGAAGTGTAACCTGCAAGTCCCTTTGGGGATGTTTTAACCTTTCCTTAAAAAGCAGAACAACACTCTGTACAGTCCACATATGCTGCAGATTATTATTTTGTTATTTATTCAAATAACAATGCCAAGCTTCTCATCTTTTTGTTTTTTTTTATTCATGTAATTTTATTATAAAGAAAAGTCTGAACATGGTTCAACGTTTTTGTCTTTGCAGACACACAACAGTGTAACAAAGTAGTTGAAATGTTGCCAATAAACTACATTACTACTGTAAAAAAAAAAAATTTTTAATAACAAACTCTTGCTATTTTTTTCTAGAACATTTCATCACTTTGGCTCCCCTTTTCTCCCCTTTGTTTCCTTATCGTGCAGGCTGCAGATGGGTTCCTGTTTGTAGTGGGCTGTGATCGTGGGAAAATAGTTTTTGTCTCAGAGTCTGTCACGAAGATATTAAATTATAGCCGGGTAAAACTTTTACATTTGTTACTGTTTCTGCAGTGTCTTTTGTTATGAAAACCTGGGACACACCAGATGGCTTTTGTTATCTTGTAACTAATGTAAATAGATTTGAATTCACAACCATCAGGTGACTCTGTAGTGAGATGTTTCAGTGCACAGCATTTGTTATGTATTGTAGTACTCAATAGAAATGGAAATGTCATCTAAATCTATCGTTATGTTGGTCCTAATAGTTAGTGCACAATAGCCTGTTGCAGGACAAGTGATTACTGGAAAGATGCCATACACTCACCAGCCACTTCATTGGGTACACCATGCTAGTACCTCAGGTGGATCTCTTTGTGCATTTACAACTGACTTAATTCTATATGGCACTGATTCAACAAGGTGCTGGAAACATTCCTCAGAGGTTTTGATCCATATTGATACAACATAATCACACAGCTTTTGCAGCTTTACTGGCTGCATATCCATGATGCTAATCCCCCGTTCGACCACATCCCAGTGGTGCTCTTATTGGATTGAGATCTGGTGATTGTTGAGGCCACTGAGTGAAATTATTGTCATGATTTGTGACACAGTGTTCTCATGTATCCAAGAAAATGTCCCTCACACCATTACACCACCAGCTGCAGCCTCAACTGTTGACACAAGGCAGGATGGATCCATGTTTTCACGTTGTTTATGCCAGTTTCTAATCCTACCATCCAAATGTTGCAGGAGAAATAGACTCCTCAGCGCACAGGATATTTTCTCTCTTTCGGACCATAGCTTTGGAAACCATAGAAATGGAAGTTTCTGGTGAGCCCATCTGGCACCAACAACCTTCCAACATTCAGTTTCTTAAATCACCCTTTCTTCCATTTTGATGCTCAGTTTGAACTTCAGCGTGCTTTGACCATTCCTAAATGCATCAAGTTGCTGCTGATTGATTAGCTGATGAGTGTTTTATGACCAATTGAACAGCTGTACTTAACAAAGTGGCTTTTGAGTGTATTCGTGTGCTTGTTGATAAGACTATAAAATAATGATCAAAATAACACTATAGTCCTAAGCTGTCATTTAAGCCATCTGTGCTCCACACAGTGTCTGGTGTGCTCCAAGGGTCACAGTTAACCATCAGTGTTTTGGGGTTTTTTGGGAGGGGGTTTCATCATAAGGAGTAATTGCCTTAGGTCTTAGAGTGGCTTTGACATTTTTTTTTATATACGCCATAGGAGCCTTGCTTAGGTCAGTTTGATGAGCTGTTTGTTTTCCTCTAGGCGGAGCTGATTGGGCAGAGCCTGTTTGATTACATACACCCAAAGGACATGGGAAAAGTGAAGGAGCAGCTGTCCGCTTCTGAATTATATCCTCGTGAACGGCTAATAGATGCTAAAAGTAAAGCAAATATTCTTGTCTCTGTTTTTGTGTGTAAGAGATTACGGTTAACGTTTCTCTCGTGTCTTTAGCCGGTCTGCAGGTTCAGGCTGACCTTCCAATCGGTGCAGCACGGTTGTGTTCGGGTGCTCGTCGTTCATTCTTCTGTCGCATGAAGTATAACAAAGTTTCTATCAAAGTGGAAGAGAAGGAATCCCAGGGAAATGTCTCCAAAAAGAAAGGTGGAGATGTTACACAGCAGGTTTTATTAGGTCTAAATTCAAAAAAAGCTTTTTAATGAGTATGTTAATTGTGTTCTGCTTTTGATTTGTGTCTGCATCGGCTTTTAGAGTCGCAGAAGTACTGCACAGTCCACTGTACAGGCTACATGCGCAGCTGGCCGACCAGTCAGCTGGGAGCAGAAGGGGAGGGTGAAGTGGACAAGCAGGAAAGCTCCCACTTCAGCTGTCTAGTGGCGGTGGGACGCGTCCACAACCACTCATCTCCCCAGGTTAATGGAGAAGTCCGAGTTAAACCCACAGAGTTCATCACGCGCTATGCCATGGATGGCAAGTTCACCTTTGTTGATCAAAGGTAAAACTGGGGTTTATTGTCAAAGTGTGGCAGTTGTGGTGATTTTTACTTTTAAAATAACTATTGATTTTTAATCTGGCCTTATGTTTAAAAGTCCCAGAGAGTCCGGCGCACATTATTAATGTACAACTGATTAGCATTTCTAATAAAGCTAATTGGTTAGCTTATTGGTTTTTTTTCCTCGTTTGTAGTTCATGTCATAAATAATAGTGCTCATCAATAACTAGCTTGTGTATCTATAGCAACATAACAAAAGTGGTAGGTAAAACATTCAGTTAACAGATTAAAAATGTTTCTGTTCTTGCTCTGTCTGAAATGTTTATGTTGTATGAATTTTTCCATTTTAAAGGAAATCTTAGTTGATGTAATAGGATATTTGGATCTCTCTTAATTATATTTCAATTTTCTTTGACAGAGCGACGACCATTCTAGGTTATCTTCCCCAAGAATTGCTCGGGACATCGTGCTACGAATACTTCCATCAAGATGACTTACCCCATTTAGCAGACAGACATCGAAAAGGTGCAGTTTTTATTTATGTATGGGTTGTTTTTTTTCCCTTCTATTTTGGATATGTTTAAAGCCATTTCCATGTTTAACAAATGGTTTCATTCTTAGGTTTAATATAGGTCAGATAAATACCTAATTAACACAGAACTGCCAGGAATGTGGGTGTTTTGTTTGTTTGTTTGTTTTATTTTTAACTCCATCCTGCAGAAACTGCAGTAAAATTTTAAGTTTTTTTTAATTTACAAATGATGTTAAATCAAAATTATTACAATTAATTAACAAACAAATACTAAGTAATATATCTCCATTCATCCATTCTCCTCCACTTATCCAATTCATGGTTATGGGGGGAGGGGTGGGGAGTCAAACACATTATATTAAATTAATTACTGTAAAAGTAAAACTGACAGTTTAGCACACTATCCACACTGCTCCACCTCAGGCTGCAGCGCTTCATCTCCTCAAGCATGAAACCCATTTGACATGGCAGCTCTGCTCTGAATTTCTACTTTAGTTTTTACTCTGTTGTCCATGTGTTCACTCCGACCTGTTGTACCCTAGTATTACATTTCATTGATGCAGAAAGCGTCAATCCTTTATGTAACTACATATAAATCCATTTTACAAAAAGCCATGAGCTGATGGTTTTAGTATAACTTTAGGCCTCGAGGGCCGGTGCCCTGCAGGTTTTAGATCTCACCCTGGGTCTACACACCTGAATCAGATAATTTGTTCATTACCAGGCCTCTGGAGAAGTTCAGGACATGTTGAGGAGGTAATTTAACCATTTTAAATGAGCTGTGTTGGATCAAGGACACATCTAAAACCTGCAGGACACCGGCCCTCGAGGCCTGATTTTGGACACCACTGGTTTAAGTTATATGATTTTAAAAGCAAGGGGATCAATATGTCCCTGTTGGCGGTTCTAGTGTTAAATGCCTGTATTTTGTGATCACTGATGTACTTTTAGGTTACAGCGTTATCTGAAGATTTTGTTTTCTAGTGTTTCTCTGACTTGTCCTCTTGCTGTTTTTCTTCCACAGTGCTGCGGAGTAAAGAAAAAATAGAGACAAACTGCTACAAATTCAAAACAAAATACGGCTCTTTTGTCACTCTGCAAAGTCAGTGGTTTAGTTTTGTAAATCCGTGGACCAAAGAACTAGAATATATAGTGTCAACTAACACAGTCATCTCGTGAGTATATGGTTCAGTGGATTTGTACATTTGCTTATGTATCTGTGAGTGCGTCTGTATATATTTGTGTTAATTTAAATTTTTCTCTTTGCTCATCCTATGACCAGATATGATCCCAGTCGAGCAGGCCGGTCAGGAAATAAATCTGAACAGTCGAGCAATCCCAAGGCTTCTGAAGGTCTTTATAAAATTATTCTATCAACACATTATTTGGTTGTAGGGGGCCTTCCCCCCCCCCCCCCCTTTCACTTATTTAACTCTTCTGCTCTGTCTTATTTTTCCCTGTCAGACTGTAAAAAGTCCCCTCCTATTATACCGGGCATTTCCAGCACACCTGGGACTATGATATATGCCGGAAGCATAGGAACCCAGATTGCCAATGAGCTGCTGGATTTCAACAGGTATGTACTGGATATAATTACTTTACAAAGACACAAGTCCAGCATCTGCATCTATGCTCTGGTTACTTGGTGTTGTTGTAGATGAAGGATACTTCTGTTTTAAGTTGTTCTGTGTGGGTTTCCTTTAGGACGAACTCATCACCTTCCAGTGGTAACGTCAGTCCCTTCAGTCTGCCACAGGACAAGTCCCCACAAATTCACAATCAAATCAGCAACAGCGTGAGTCATGCCGGCTGTTTATCCAATCAATCCAATCAACTTCATGCATCCTTGATGCATGAAGGAGCATTTCCACAGGTCCTTCCTCCCTGCAGCTGTCAGACTGTACAATCAAAACTGCTCCCAGCAAACATAGAGGTTTACATCAGCGCTGTAACTTGCACTATTTTATCAACCGATTCACACTATAACCAGGGTTTGCCTCTTATCTGTATTTAGTTTTATTTAATTTAATAACGGTACAGTACTCTGTTTTTGGTAACCATTGTCCTTGATGTAAATATGTAAAAATTGTGTATGTTTCTGTTCTGTCTTGTGTACTGTTTGTTTGTATATGTGTCTTTCTTGCTGCCGTTATAGATTTCCCCTTGTGGGACAATTAAAGGATTATTCTATTCTATTCTGGCTCACATAAAACATTTTTAGAAGCTGAACTATGTCTAAGATGTGATGGGAGGGTTATAGTTTGCTCCCTTTTGGTCTTCAGGTCCCAAATGGAGAAACATCAGACATGGAAATACCAGGAAAGTCCAGCTCGGAGAGTGAGCCTCAAGGAGCTGCATTCTCAGGAGGAGAGACTCTTATGGGTACTTCCACTCATCCTGTCTATAAACTTTGTTATAATAAACTGAGTTACTTGCTGTATTTATTTCTTCCCTATTGCAACCTGGTCACTTTTCCTTTTTGTTTTCACTCCACCTTACCCCAGGAGAAAATTCCCAGTTGGATTTGGAGAGCGTGGTTGGACCAGGCCTGAATAGCCTCAGCAGTGATGAAGCAGCTATGGCAGTGATCTGGAGCCTTTTGGAGACGGACACAAACTTGGGAGAAGCCGTGGACTTTGAAGAGATGCACTGGTCCTTATAGAATCTGCATTACAGTGTGAAACGGCACGCTGGAAAACACCCGGATCCTCATTTTGATGATGGCAGAAACTGCTTGAAGCTTACTCGAAGGAGCAGCATTCTGTTTTTGTTTTATTTTTTTTGTTTTGTTTTGTTAAAATTTAATATATTAGTTACTCTTCTCCACATAAGCTGTCTAGTATTTGGGTGGCTGCTCAAACAGGAGCAGAATCGGCAACATTAAGGGACACCTGCTTTCCCTCTTCAGAAAGAGGATGTGCCTCTTAAACGTTGCAGCTGCCCGCCCACTCACCTTGAAACGCTGTTCCTCTCCTCCCTGCTTTCTTAAATCTGCCGTCAGCTTCAGAAAGGTTGAAGAAGCCGTGAACGCACAGAAGAGTGATATGAAGTGCATCATGATGGCTCTGGATCCTTGCTTCTATTTCTCTCCACCTAAATTTAAACACAGGTTGGGAGTGGTGACGCAAAAATCAATTGCACTGAATTGATTTCTTTTTTCTTTCTTTTTTTAAAGTTGTAATTTCATTAGGTACTGTATGCTTGACTAAAATGCAAGAGGACACCCTAAAAAACTGGCCAAGCTTTGCAACCCTTCCCTCAGGATCCAAAACCGTGGGTTTAAAGCTTACCGCGGCAGACCACACTTCCATAACCTCTACTCTCTTTGAGAGTCACCTACAGACGTGGCGCTCTGAGATTTTCTCTTGTCAGTATCTGAACATTTTTCTCACAAACGGTGTAGTAACCTCTTCTCTTGTATGCTAACATATGTCGCTGTACATATGTGGGGTCGATATGATTGCAAACACCATGTCTTCAGGCCACATGTGTCTTAAAGGGATAGGTTGCATAAAAAGCCTCAGAATTTACTAGTTCCACCTTCAAAAAATTTTAGTTGATGAGCTGCCAGTTTTGATGGCTGGTCATTTATGAGCACTACAGTACGACTTCATGCAAATCAGAACGGCACTTTAGAAGTGCTGATATTGAGGGTTGGTAGCGATGGCTGACGAGCGAACCCATTTCACATCTGTGACACTTTCTCAGTACGTGTTTGAGACTGATGCGAGTCAGGGAGTTATCAACTTTTAAGATTTTACACACTTCCCTGCATACTGTACAAGTAGTATCAGTACTTGTTCACCTCTGAATCTTTGTTCTTATTGTTGTCTCTATAGTCGTGCAGGTAAGCCATACCTTCTACCGTTTCTTCTTTTTATGCACTGACAGTCTGAGAACATGTTTATGTGCTTGTTATGTGGCAGACAGGGTTGAAATTGATATGTTTGTTAAGGGATTGTGCTATGCAGAAGTGTCATTCCAAACTTTTTCCCCCCCTTCCCTTTATTTCCTCTTGTGTAATAGCCACGTGCATGATTCCTGAGTGTAGAACATTTGCAGAGCTGTGGTGTGACATTTGTGAGAACTTGAATGGTCCACGGAGCAGTATGGATCCCATTGCCATTTACCTCATGTAGAGTTTAGGATTGGCCATGCTTTCAGTTGCACATTCTAGCTTTTTACTAAAGTAATGAAACCTCTGATAGCCATGATTTGATGATCTATTTGTTAGTGATCCACTGCTGAGCGTGGCCATGAGTGGCTCTTAGTTATGGAGTTACCAAAGTGTTGTCGTATGCTAAATTAAAGGGTGTCGGCTTGAGATCCTGGTGAGAGCAGATAATGTAGAAATTTACTTTATAGGTCCATTATAATAAAGTTATTGCATTTGGCTGTTTTTTTTTTTTGTTTTTGTTTTGTTTTTTGTTTTTATAAGAAATTTAACAACTTGAGTATATACATCCCCTGTTATAAGTTACTTAAAAATAAATCCTCTATGTCTAAACATTTAGTGATTACACATTCTTTTAACTGAAATCTTTAACTTTAAGGAGATTTTTTTTCAATTAAAACATGAACTACTGAAATCCAGCAAAATCATTTGGTTTGTGGCACATGGATTTTTATACCGTGTGTGTGTGTGTGTGTGTGTGTGTG